GAGGGGATAAGCTAAAAATTAATTATGCCCTTCATAACTTTAAAACATCTTCAAGATTTCAAAGCATTCGGTTTGGCAGATTCCAAATGAAATTGCAAAATGTTGTTTTATAATTTTGATATTTTGACTAAAAATTTATTATGCCCTTCATAACTTTAAAACATCTTCAAGATTTCAAAGCATTCGGTTTGGCAGATTCCAAATTAAATTGCAAAATGTTGTTTTATAATTTTGATTTTTTCGGGTGAAAACTCAACACGGATTCATAAACTACATGTGTAGGATTATGTTATTTTATACAATTTAAAACCCATTTACTACGTGGAGATGATTAAACAAATTTTGGTTAGCGTTTTATCATCTACTTACATAATATTCCTAATATAAATACAAGATTTGACAACAATCCGCTCAGTACTTTCGGAGATTATTCGTCTAATAAAAATCGTGAAATTGGAAAGTCTAAAAATCGTGGGAGGGCAGACAGACGGAAAGGGGAGACCTATTTCTTGGTATTCTAGGGGTCATGAAAGGTCGAGAAAACGTGAAAGTAGAAACTCGGCCGATGGACTCGATTACAATACTTCCTTAGCTTACGCTCAGGAAGTAAACAATACATAGGCGACTTGTGTAATTTTTACACAAGTTGTACTTTATCCGTCGTGGGGTAATAATGAGGTGATAATGTTTATTATCTTGTCACAAAAACCACTTTAAAGTGGGAGTACAATACATACCTATATAGAATTTCAAAATTGTTTATGAATAAATAAAATATTCAATTTAACGATAAAAAATCCGTTGAAAATTTTAAAAGGAATATGTAATTTAATTTCAGTGAAGTATAACATTTTTTTTTTCAAATAAAAAAATGGTCGAAGGTTATTTCGGCAGAACTCCCAGAATAAAACAGGTCTGTATTACCAGTTAATAGACGAAATTGTGTGACGGAAATAAATACAAAAATACATTCAATAAGAGTAAAAATGGATTTGTTCACATACTTTTGGTTTTAACTTATTATTGACACGCAAAACAATTGCACGATTTTTTATTAAACACTCAATTGAATCCATTATTTTTATTTAAAATCAAAGAATTTCACTCTCGCAGAATGAAAACGAACTCCCGTAATTGAATCACTCCTAGCGATCACTGTTACAAATGTGACCCGATTCCGGCCAAATATAGCGATTAGAGGCGCGGTTTCCATGGCAACGGTGTACACAAAACGTCTGAATGAGTCATGATTTGGTCTCCGCTTATATCCAAATATGTTTTTAAATATTGACAGTTACTATTTTACTAGTCAAGTGTGTTTGAAGACGTAATTTTGGGGAGACATGTGCTCTTGTGCCCCCTGGCACCAGCCGCCCCTGAGTTATATTCATAAATAAAATGCAATTAATGAATTATACCGTTTGGAATTATTAATGCTAGAAAAATCAAGTCGACGAGTAATGTCAAGATTTTGTTTTTTTTTCCAAAAATGTGGATGTCTCGTTAAATCTCAACACGGATTCATAAGCCACAGGTGTAGGAGTATGTTATTTTATAAGATTTGAGACGCATTTAGGGGAGAGTGGAGCAAGACAGGGATGTGAGTTAAGATATGGTACCCCCTCTATACTCAAATGACCCCCAACCCCTCAACTTCAGTCCCTTGAGAATCATAAATGTGAAACGAAACGTTGTATTAATATTGAGAAAAAACTTGTTTTGACGACTTCCCTTATTATTATTGAATTATTTCATACCCTGACAAAAGTATCAGAGGATTCGGTAAGTGATAGAAGCGTTAGTTTCGTGAAATGTATGGCAAATAAAGATTAAATGCGACCACATTTTCAATGTACAATTTTATTGCAATTTTTGTAAAGGAAGAGAAAGACAATCAGAAAGCTGAAAAGCTCAAAAAAAAGAAGAAAAGCAGACTATAGAAATAAAAGATAATGAAAAAATACCAAAATTAAGAAAACGTACAAAACCACTACATACAAATTCATTTTCTATTATAGTGAATGTCTTCACTTCCAGGGCTCGTATTCAGTTTCTAAATGAAAATTATTTTTCTCAATCTATGAAATTCTTGATTTTATTTAACATAACACCTTAACTACTCCATCTTGCTCCACCTTCCCCTACTAAGTACAAGTTTGAGGTAAGGTCATCAAATACTAATTGACAAAGGACCAATTTCTTGTGAAGTAGACAATGAATTATATACAATGAATTCTGGATTCACAAAAAACTCTTTTCTAAAGTAAGTATTACGTAACGGAGAAAAAATCAAAAGAAGTTGGCTAAAGCTACAAATATCCTATATTGTTCGTGTTGTAAATTGTTCTCGAAATATAGTCCTAAGTTCAAGTTTTAACGCTGGAAAAATATTTCTAACTATTTAGCTAAGCATGAAAGAACTGTCAAACATGTCAAAGCTTTCTCTGGCTGGATCCAATTGGCCAAAAGAAAAAAATTGAACGCCACTGTAGACGCTGAACATTAAAAAAATGTATAAATTGTGAAACATTCTCTAAATAAATACCTACATATACTTATTAAAAAGTCCTAGAACCGGTCCTGTATATATCCGGACTCTCAATGGACCCTATTACAATACTTCCTTAGAGCTTATTAAGCTCGAGAAACAAAAAACTAAAAATATCCGACTTTCTCGTTGCTGAATTTCGAATTCTTTGACGTATAGTCGTGAATATATTTAAGTCGATAGAAGCTCCTGCTTTAGCTGGCACTGACGGATAAATGTAATCAGGGATCGCACTGGAATTAGACGGGCGCATTCCAGTGCATTTTAGAGCGAAAACTCTATTTAGTTTTAAAAGGTAGAAAATATCCCATAAACCACTGTAAATACAAAACGATTTTTGTTTAATAACAATAAACCTCATAGTTTCCTTAAAATGATCGTCAGAAGTTTTTCCAATTGGGAATACAGAGGTTTTCTAGGATATCAAATTCGGGGTAGGAATCAAGTATTATTTCGTAGGGAGATAATAGCCAAAGAATTTCCCTAGGGTGTGTTCCTTATGTGTCCTTTATTGTTTAATAAAAACGGAACGCCAAAAATTCGTTTATTAACATTAACACAGTAAACGATTTATTTTTACAATTAGTTCAAGTTCAAGAGTTGTATAAATTCTTATACCCACCACTGACAGTATTTTTGACCTACCATAACTATTATTCAATAAATGGCACAAAACGACTAGGATTAAGACAAAAAAAGCGACGCACTGATAAGCAACGTTCAAAATCAAGATAAGGACCAGTCATGTAGTTGGTTGTCGTCGTATGTTAGGTTAACGTCTTTGACAAATGGTTAAATAACCTCCGCGTTCACCTGATCTCAATCCGTGTGATTTTTGTCTGTAGGGTTAGATGAAACAGTTTATGTAAATCAACAGTGTCCAGAAACTATCGAAGAACTTCAACAATAATATAATAATATAGTTTCGGTTCAGAAATAGTGAACTTTCAGATTTATGACAAGCTCGGACAGTTTGCTCGTTGGAATTGAACGTTTGCGTATAGGATAATTAAGTCGTTATTCCGTCAAAGTTTACAATTTTATATATTTAAAAATTATTCTGTTGATGTTCATTATTTCAAAACCAGAATTATACACTTTTCAATTTCTTGAAAACGATAAAAATTAACTTGACCAGCAGTAGCAGACGGTGTTAAAAATAATCACACTTAATAACACGACAATTAACTGGTAACACTTCTCCGAGCACAATCCGTCTATTCCTAGCCAAAATAAATTAATCATTTGTTTACCATCAGTCAGTAATTAAATTATTTATTATTTACATACCAGTTATAGAATTGTCGGGGACAATTTAAACGGAAATTGATGTCATTTGTCATGAAATATGCACGAAACCTTTAAATGGAAATTCGGAATAATTTAACTGATGGAAACACACCATCCTATCACTTCGCTATATCTTACTTAATAATTAATAATATATTCTTATGAATATGCTATATGTAGTGGACAGATGTGCTCAAGGTGAAAACGTTCTTCTATAATTTTTTTATTGTTGACACTTTGTGATTAATTGACTAGTTTGAATTTAAATAGAACATAGTTTAGCAAAAAATGGCTTATCTTATTGAATTAGGCAAATAATTAGCCAGCGATTACTTAAATAATAATAAATATTAACTGTGTAGCCTAGTGGACACAGTATGCTCAGACAGCCTACGCCACTGCACTCCGATTGTCAAAACACAGCCAACCGAGATTCACGTTATAACTCCTTAATTACTGACGTCAAGTATGCGCCGATAGTATCAAAAACAAACATGTCACGGCTCACTTGATCGCTGCGAGGTTATTGAAAGCTTAAATCGTAATCAGTCGGAATGTGCAAATATAATAACCATTTTGACTCAAGAAATCGCGACCTCATCTTATATATAACAGCGTCTTTTATGTCTTAGTGTTTTTGTTTACGCCACCATATTGCTTTTAATTGTCTGTGACACATGTTGTTTGACGCATTCACACGTGACCCGTAAAGTATGACATTCCACGCCACTGGACTTCAGCTGTCAAAACAGCAACACAAACCAATCACGCCGTAGCTCATTAATTAGTGACGTCATTTAATGCGCCGATACAATCAGACGCAAACATGTCTCAATCGTTTAAAATAATTCCCGCCGCTGTTAATTAAAATCGCATAAATAAAATGCGAAAAAATGCGCCGCCTATGGTAATCAGCACGCGTGACGTCACCGTCTCTTTTTTCTCACGAAGCACCTCAGCCCACTCGACATACGCTCCTAAAAATTTTTACCAGTGTACTCGTTCTCGTTATTCCACAAAAGCTGGCCGAGCGGAGAGACCGGCGGTAGAACGGTTTATATACCTGCAGTACATAAGGGGAAAATAAATACATAGCCGCTATATACTTGCGCTTTCTCTCTCGCACACAGCTGTGTACAGAACGCATCAGTCTGCCGAGCGAGATCGTGGTGTGCTGTGAGCCGTGTTTTGGTGCGAGGAAAGCCGCCGCCGCCGCCGTCGCCGACCTCCAGCCGCCTCCTCGCAGTGCCTCCGCCGCCCCACGGGCCCGTCCTCCGCCGCCGCCGCCGCGAAGCCGGCGAAAACGGAAAAATGTGTGCGCGTTGAGGTTAGGTCGTCGATAAGGGCGAAAGTCGCGCTCGCCGGCCGTATTGCTTTTGTTTTCTCGTTATTACTTAACGTGGATTCGAAGTTGGATCGAGTGTGTGGTGGAAATGTGCGCTGACGTTTCGCCGAAACAAAGGAAAAAGTGGCCGGTTTTGTGCCTTTTCGGAGTTTATGGGGGTTTGTGAGGGGGTTCCGGCGCCGAAGAGGACGATTTTGGTGAGTTTTGGGGGGCCGGGGCTGCGCCCCGCGAGAAACAGATGAACGCGCGTTACGTCACGTGCTTTCTCGGGATTATTTATTTATATATCGATTGCGAAAACAACCCTGGGCGAATAAACAATGCCGTTTTTTCATTGTTAAGTTGGTACCGCGCTTGACAGGTGGGGCGAACGTGCGATAACAGTTCCTCGAAGACACTAATGGCACCCTCGGAGGGGGTGGGGGGACCGGATGTGGACGTTTGTTTACCCCGACTCGGGAGCGTGGCGATTTCGGGAGAGATCCTGAGGGAGTGCGTACGCTACAGGTACCAACTTGACAACGACAATAAACTTGATAAATTACGCCGTTTGGGAGTCTAGTCGGCTGCGACTTCATGCCGGTCCCGGCTTTATTAAAGGGCGGTTGTAAACCATTGTGCTCTGGCGGAATTTTTATGGCCGTTTGGGTTTTTAGGTTATGTACAAAAGTACGAAAGTTGCTTCTTTTGCGAAGCTAATTGTTTCGCTAAGTGTGCTTTGGAACAGTGTTACCACACGTCGAAGATTTGGTTACTTTCCGGCTGTTATGGTGTCGTTTTTCATTAATATGATATAAGTAATTCGGAGGGAACTGCGCTGTCATGTGGGTGATGGTCAGGTGTTTGGGATAGCCACGCCTCCGGGTTTTTAGTATAGTCGGTGTGGTGGACTTTGCCTTGTAACGATAAAAAATGAGGAGGAGTTGTAGTCAACTTCTTGTCTTGATGTACATTAGATACAGGGTGATTCAACTATCAAGCTTTTTGGAAATTTTTCTTTAGTTTCAACGATGTAAATGCTCTGACGGTTTCGAGTGTACCCAATGATAAAGCAAAGTTAAAAATAGGAATAAAGGAGTTTGATATTTTGCTTAACTTCCAAAGTGTAGCATGTTTTATTTATAACACTTTGATTATTTTTTCTTCAAAGTGTTAAACGTTGACATTTTAACATGTAACTGAGCGATGAAATGGAAATTGACAAGCCTGCACAGAACTGCCCACGCCCCTGAAGCACAAACTAAGTTTTTGGATAAACTATAAAACTTGATTTTGCTAACGAAACTCACAACAACTGTAAAAATCCACCATAAATATCGATCATAATTTGGTTAATTATACCGTTGATTAGTAATCCAACGATAAATGAACAAATCTGGAACAGTCTAGGTATAATTAAAAACCCGTCTATTCAGTCCCATTGTTTTTTTTACATGATACTTGCTATAAGAAAACGGCCAAAGACGACTATGGATTTTTTGAGATTTGTCTTTGATATCAATTTGAAGGTTGGAGTTCAAAGTGGAACGATCAAAGACAAACTTTCACAAATCTTTGATCGTCTTTATTATGGCTCTATCGGTATTTCATTAATTTTTTTCCATCATAAATGATATAATAATAATATTAATGATAATGTTTATTTGTATCCATCAGTTCCAAAGTTCAAATCAGGATAAAAAATATAAAGCGATATACAGGATGATTCTTAATATATGGGAAAAACTTGCTTACCGTATCCTCATGAAAATAAGAGGAAAAGCTCATATCAGTGTATGTTCTAAAATGCGTAATTTCAATAAAAAGTCCTTCAGATTTTTTCCTCTGGGTCACTTTGAATCCCTAGTTTATAACACACTGTATTCTCGGAATTTTAGGAAAATGGGGTAAAGTGTTTTTGATTTAACCAATAACAAATCCCTTGATTGACCAACTTTCAAAATTCCATGGCTGTCTTTGAGTGCGTTTTTTATTGATCTCTCGGTGTTTAGAGAGTTGATTGAGATATTAAGTTTTGCTAACTAAACTTTCATTATAAATGAGAAATATAAGAAAAATAATAGTAATATTTATCGATATCCACCGGTCTCAAGGCCCAAATTAGAATAAAATTTATAAAACCATATACAGGGCGATTCTTAATATATGGGAAAAACTTGATGACCGTTGTGTCCCCATGAGAATAAGAGAAAAAGTTATACTCAATATATGAAAATGCGTAATTTTAAATGTATAGGGTGTGATAAATTTAGTTTCTTGGTGTCCAAAATTAAATCCTTCGGATTTTTCCTTTGAGGTCAAGGAATTTCTGAAAAATGAGGTAAAGCGTTTTTTATTTAACCTGTAAGAAATTGCGAGATTCATAAATTTTCAAAAATCTGTGGCTGTCTTTGATCGCGTTTTTAATTGATTACATCGTATTTAAAGAGATTAAAATTTTGCGAACTAAATTTTCATTATCAATGAAAAGCGTAATAGTAATAATACTATTTATTGATAATCAACAGCCTCAAGGCCTAAATTAGAACAAAAAAAAAATCTAGGGCGATATACAGGGTGAGTCTTAATATATGGGAAAAACTCGACGACTGTTGTCCTTACATAAAAATAAGAGAAAAATCTCATCTATGCGTGTTCAATAATACAAAATTTTAAACTTACAGGATGTGATAAATTATAATTTATCGGTGTCCAAAATTAAGTCCTTCAGATTTCACTGCATTCCCGGAATTTCTGAAAAATGAGGTAAGGTGTTTTTGAATTAATCTATAAAAAATTGCGAAATTAATAAATTTTCAAAAATCCGTGGCTGCCTTTGATCGCTTTTTTTATTGATTACTTCCTATCTAAAGAGATTAAAATTTTGCGAACTAAATTTTCATTATAAATGAAAAGCGTAGGTAATAGTAATAATAATATTTATTGATAATCAGAGGCCTCAAGGCCTAAATTAGAATAAAAGGCTATAAAGCGATATACAGGGTGATTCTTAATATGTGGCAAAAACTCGACGACCGTTGTCTTGACACGAAAATACGAGAAAAATCTCATATCAATGCATGTTCAAAAATACAAAATTTTAAACTTATAGGGTGTGATAAATTATAATTTATACCTATGCGTCCAAAATTAAGTGCCCCTTAATTTCTGAAAAACGAGCTCAAGCCTTTTTGATTTAACCAACAACAAAATACGAGATTCACAAATTTTCAAAAGTCTGCGGCTGTCTTTGAACACATTTTTTATTAACCTCTGTATTTAGAGGGTGGGTTGAGATATTAAAAGTTTGCGAGCTAAATTTTCATTATAATTAATGATAAATATAAGAATAATAATAAGGTTTATTGTTATTCAGCGGCCCCACGGCCTAAATTAGAATAACAAATCTAGAGCGATATACAGGGTGATTCTTAATATATGGGAAAAACTCGACGATCGTTGTCCTTAATAAAAATAAGAATCTCAAATCAGTGTATGTTCAAAAAATACAAAATTAAATCCTTCGGATTTTTTCCTCAGAGGTCACCTTAAATCTCTAGTTTATAATACACTGTATTCTTGGAATTTGTGAAAAATGAGATGAAGCGTTTTGATTTAATCAAAAATAAATTGCGAGATTCACAAATTTTCAAAAATCCGTGGCTGGCTTTGATAGGGTTTTTTATTGATCACTTAGTATTTAGAGAGAATAAAATTTTGCGAATAAATTTTCATTATAAAATGAAAAGCGTAATAGTAATAATACTATCTATTGATAATCAGCGGCCTCAAGGCCTAAATTAGAATAAAAAATCTATAAAGCGATATACAGGGTGATTCTTAAAACATGACAAAAACACAACGATCGTTGTCTTTACGTGATAATATATATTTAAAATACATTTTAAACTGATAGGGTGTGATAATTTATAAATTTGTGGTGTCCAAAATTAAGTCCTGATGTCAAGGAATTTCTGAAAAATGAGGTAAAGCGTTTTTGGTTTAACCAAAATGCGAGATTCACAAATTTTCAAAAATCCGTGGCTGTCTTTGATCGCGTTTTTTATTGATCCATTTGTATTTAGAGGGTGAGTTGAAATATTAAAATTTTCATAATAAATAGTAAGTATAAAAATAATAATAATATTTATTGATATTCAGCGGCCTCAAGGCTTAAATTAGAATAAAAAATCTAGAGCGATATACAGGGTGATTCTTAATATATGGGAAAAAGAGAGTGAGTTGTGATGTTAAAAGTTTGCGATCTAAATTTTCAAAAAATTAATGATAAATATAAGAATAATAATAATAATAACATTTATTGATATCCAGCGGTCTCAAGGCCTAAATTAGATTACAAAATTTGTAGCTATATACAGGGTGATTCTTAATATATGGGGAAAACTCGACGACCGTCGTCCTTACATGAAAATAAGAAAAAAATCTCATATCAATGTAGTTCAAAAATACAAAATTTTAAACTTTAGGGTGTGGTAAATTATAATTTATCGGTCCCCAAATTAAGTCCTTCAGATTTCACTGTGTTCCCGGAATTTCTGAAAAATGAGGTAAAGTGTTTTTGAATGAACCTATAACAAATTGCGAGATTCACAAATTTTCAAAAATCCGTGGCTGTCTTTGATCGCGTTTTTTATTGATTACTTCGTATTTAGAGAGATTAAAATTTTGCGAACTAAATTTTCATTATAAATGAAAAGCGTAATAGTAATAATAGTAATATGTATTGATAATCAGGGGCCTTAAGGCCTTAATTAGAATAAAAAAACTATACAGCTATATACAGGGTGTATCTTAATATATGGCAAAAATTCGGCGATCGTTGTCTTTGCATGAAAATAAGAGAAAAATCTCATATCAATATATGTTCAAAAATACAAAATTTTAAACTTACATGGTGTGATAAATTATGATTTATGGGTGTCCAAAATTAAATCCCTCAGATTTTTTCCTGCGAGGTCAAGGAATTTCTGAAAAATGAGGTAAAGCGTTTTTGATTTAACTAATAACAAAATGTGAGATTTACAAATTTTCAAAAATTTATTACTCTCTTTGATTGCGTTTTTTATTATTTCGTATTTAGAGAGACTAGAATTTTGCGAACTACATTTTGAATTATAAATGATAAATAAAAGAATAATAATAATAATATTTATTGATATTGGTGTCAAGGCCCAAATTAGGATAAAATATATAAAAC